GGATTGATAGGATTAGGCAGTGCATCTCGGATTTTCATTTCTCGATACTCATTAATGGCCTCCCATTTGGATTCTTCTCCTCCTCTCGAGGGCTCGAACAGGGGGACCCTATTTCACCATCCCTTTTCATTATTGCGCAGACTACTTCTCACGCTTGCTCACTCAGAGATTTTAGGAGTATTCTAGTATGTGTTATCGACATGGTGGGAGCATTCTTGTCTCCCATCTTTCATTTGCTGACGATATGATCATATTCGCTAATGGTCAAAAACAATCTATTAAGAGGGCTCCTTAATTGCTTGGAGCATTATGAGCAGGTTTCTGTCCAGTTGGTGAATAGAGACAAGAGCAGACTTATCCTACCCAAACAAACATCTACTGATCAGATTAGACGACTGGAAACTTTTACTGGATTTCGACATCAGCGACAGCCCTTTATTTATCTAGGGGTCCCTTTACTTAAAGGGATCAAGAGGAACTTCATCTGTGATGACCTTCTTCAGAAGGTCAGGGGCAGGATTTCAGGCTAGGCTTCACTATTACTCTCTCTCGGGGGTTGCATTACCCTATTGAGGTCGGTTCTTTCTTCCATTCCACTACATCTTCTTCAGATCATAAGCCCCCTAAGGCTGTTCTAAAGAAACTTGAGAGCATATTTGCCAGATTCTTATGGGATTCTAAAGACCAGGCATGACGGTTACATTAGAGGAGTTGGAAGGAGATTTGCCTTTCTATTGATGAGGGTGGTTTAGGCTTCAAAAGATTGCAAGATGTGGTGGATACCTTCTCCATGAAGCTTTGGTGGTTGTTCTACTCTCAGAGATCGCTATGGGCCCAGTTTTTACTGGGCAAGTATTGCATGGAGACACACTCTTCACTTACAGCAATTTCCAAGGCAGCCCCTCCCATTTGGAAGAGATTGAAATCAGTAGGACCACAAACAGAGCCACACATTGCTTGGCATCTTGGAGCTGGTCAGGTTTTCTTCTGGTATAATTGTTGGATGGGAAAATCCACATTGGCATCCCTGTTCCCACAAAGGCAGCACACATCTAAGAGGGTTTAGGAATTTTTTTATGTCAATGGATGGGACTTTGGACAATTATTACAAGCCCTTCCATCTCATATGGCAGAATAGATAGAGGCGACACCTCTATGTACTAATAAACCAAATTGTACTGTTTGGAGGGTTACATCAAATGGTAGCTTTGCTACCAAATCAGCATGGCATCTAGTTCGTTTGGCTCGCCAATTTGGACGGTTATTACAAGCCCTTCCATCTCATATGGCAGAATAGATAGAGGTGATACCTCTATGTGCTGATAAACCAGATCGTACTATTTGGAGGGTTACATCAGATGGTAGCTTTGCTACTAAATCATCATGGCATCTAGTTCGTTTGGCTTGCCAATTTCAGGACTCTTATCAGTTATTGTGGAACTTTGTACTGCCTACCACTATTTCTTTCGTCTACTGTAGATTATGGTAGAATCTCATACCGATTGATACAATCATTCAGAGGAAGATTGGATGTCAATTGGCTTCCCAATGTCAGTGTTGCACTAAGATTGAGACCATCAATCATACCTTCACTGGCAGCAGTATCTTCGACCAGGAACATCACCACTTTGGGGACATTTTTCGGATACCTATGTGCTCAGGAGAGGGAGTCTGACAGAGGTTCCAACTATGGAGGTACTCTGGAAAGTTCGTTCGCAATGGATACATTCGCACTATCATTTCTCTACTGATTTTTTTGTTTTTATGGACCGAAAAGAATGACGCAAAGTATAAAGGGGTCCGTATGGTGGCCAGACGCATCATTGGGAGGGTCGATCGCATTATTTCCCTTTTTATATGGGAGGACTGTTTCGAGCTGTGCATTGAAAAGGAGATTTGGCACTTGTACCACTATTTGGCATATTTATGACTCTCCCTATCCCACCACCACCCATGATGGTTGTTTGGCACACTCCATCAATAGGACCATACAAGATCAACACTGATGGATGCGTCAAGGATGGATTTACGAGTGGTGGGGCATCATCGGGTATCACACTGGCCGCTGCATTATGGCATTCTCAACATCGTACGACCCATGCTTGACTTTGGAGGCTGATATTAGAGCTGTGCTAGACGGGATTCTATTGGCCAGAGGACTTGGACTTTTAGCCATCTGGATTGAGTCAAATTCTAACACGGCCATCAACTATATCACCAAAGGCGACGGACCATGGACAATTCAGGGCATACTCAGACAGATCGGAGACATCATATCCTTCGATAAGGACACTATTTCAAACATCTTCAGAGAAGGAAACCAGGTTGCTGATGCTCTTGCTGCAAAGGGCTAGGATCATCAACGATATCAGGTATATGGACCAGTTGATCTACCTCGACACATTAGGGTACTCATACAGATTGATAGACATGGATTGCCCAACTTTAGAATTAAATTTTTTAATTTTTTAATTTTAATTTTTTATACTTTAGTTGCTTTAGTTCATATTGTATTCCTTTGCATTTGTCCTTTATCCTTTGTTCTCTTCGTAAGTGAAGTAGTACTTCCTCATTTATTGCTTTTATTCCTTCCACATGTAACCACAGTATTCCTCCGCCACAAGTGAGGACATATTAATAAAACTAACGGAGGTACCGCCCTCCTTCCAATAAAAAAAAACCCTAAACCCTAAAATATTGTCACTTTCTCTCTCTAGCCCAAAACGCTCTCCCTTCTCTCTAGAATGGGAGACAAAGCACAGACCTTCAAAAGTCTCAACCCACCACCCAATATTCCACCTTTACCCAGTGGATTTCAGCCCCAAACAACACCAGATCACCAACAAAATCAAAATATTACTGTTTTGGAAGCGATTGGATTGAATTCTAATAAGAACAATGATGGCACGTTTCCCAATGTCACCAAAACTTCATCTTCTACAGTGATTGAGGATCTGGGACCATCACCAATGATTCCAGAAGGGCCGAAAACCCTAGGGGTGGTGGAGATTGCATCTGAATCGCCCGAAATTGGCAGATCGAATCCCGAGGGGCCGATTTTCGATTCTTCTATTAAACCCTCTATGGAGCTCAGACACATGCACGTACCATATCATCTGATTACCCATGAGAAGGAGAACCTTCGTCTAAAAAATGGTCCAATTCCGACGTCGGACGCGCCCTCACCGACGATCGCAAGTTACAGCCAGCCGCTCAGAAAATCGCAGATTTCGGCCAATCCTGAACTCGTTTCGGAAAACAGAACATACCGTGATGATCAGAATGAAATTTCGCATCTACCTGTGAAAAAGTATAATTTTCTGACACCGTTGGAAAATCACCGCCGGTCAACGGCCGACGCGTGGTGGTCACGCGCCGGTGACACTTTAGCAGAATGTGGGGAATTTTGTTACGGACCCAATTCCATCATCGGATTTACGACGGGAAGTCCCTACAGTAATTAATCAAGCTAGGAAGTCATATGCGGCTGCACTTTCCGGTAAATCTGTAGTCTGTCAAGCTGAGCGCAGCCAACGGAAGTCTTTTGCACAGGTTTTGCAAGCCCCACCGGACTCTAATGACCACAGGTTCACCTCTAAGGAACCTTTCATGCATATGGGAGAGCCGGCAGTTGTCTTTACCGAGGAAGAAGAGGACTTTCTTTCTGAACCGTATAAATTTACTCTTGTTGGCAAATTCTCACGTCGCAAGCCCTCCATGATTAAGGTACGTGACAGCTTTCAAAAATTTGGTTTTTGTGGTGATTACATGATTGGACTTATTGATGCGACTCATATTCTAATGCACTTGGCACATGAGGATGATTACTCACGCTTATTTCTTAAGCCCTCTTGGTACATCGATGGTTGTCTCATGCGTGTTTTTAAGTGGACGCCCAGCTTTAATCCTAAGCATGAGACTCCTATTGTCCCTATTTGGGTTTCATTCCCATTATTGCCCATTCACTTTCGAGCAAAGAGTAGTCTGTTTGCCCTAGCTAAGGCCATTGGAATCCCACTACGTATTGATGAGGCCACTTCAGATTTACGACGACCCAGTGAGGCACGGGTATGCATTGAGGTTAATTTGGAGTATAAGCTTCCAGATAGGATTTGGATTCAGCGTGAAAAGTGTGGAGGATATTGGCAAACAGTTGTGTATGAGAAGAAGCCAGATTACTATTTTCGGTGCAAACATTTTGGTCATACTGGGGAGCATTACCGCCCTCCACCACCACCTGCTCTAGTTGTTGACCCTGTTCTTAAGCCTACTATAGAGATGGCCAAGGATAAGGGTAAAGGAAAGGAGGTCGTTATTGAGCCTCCTAAACGATGGATTCCAGTTCAGAGAGATCAGAAGAGGCAACACGATGCTAGCACATCTGGAGTTCAGATTCCGCTTTCTATGTCCACTGTCATCACATCAGTCCCATTACCTACTAGCACTAGCTCACATGCTCAGACCCAGCCATCTGTTCCTCCAGTTGCTCCTCTCTCTGCTACAGCCTTACCAGTTATCAGTGTTGTAGATCCAGTTACATCTACCACTCCTTCAGCTCCTGCTCAGGCTATCAGTCTACCTATCACTCCATTTTATGATCCTATGTTGGATGAGATGTTGAAGAGGCCACAGACACAGAATTCTACAGCAGACACAGTCAGCAGAGCTTCTTACATTCCAGGCCCGACACCGGGTAGGGCTCAGGCACCTATTTCCACTTCTTCTCCTCCTGTTTGTCATCAAAATGTGGAGGCATCTATTCCATCTTTGCAGTCAGCGCATTCAGATACAGAGGGCTCACCTCAGATTGAGGTTCACCAGCAGGGACCTTTTCGAAGATCTTCTTCTGATGACTTGGTGGGTTTGGATGAGAGGACAGAGGATGATGGATTTACCCCAGTTGTTCGGAAGAGACACCCACGGGCTACTAATACACCACATCCGAGCAGAAGGATCACTCGGAGTCAGTCACATGATACCTCCTCACATTCTCCTTCCCTATGAATGCCATCATTTGGAATGTGAGAGGTGTAGCTAGTGTAGCTACTCGTAGGTGCCTGAAGAAACTTATACAGCTTCATCAGGTTTATCTTCTAGTTCTATTGGAGCCTTTTGTTCTGCGGCAGAATTTTGCATACACACGACGCTATCTGCGCTTCAACATGGGAGCTCAGAATGAATCGAATAAGATCTGGTTTTTCTGGAATTCGGGGACTAATGTTACTGTTATTGTTGATCATCCTCAGTTTCTTCACGTTAGAGTTGAGGATCCCAGACTAGCGCGTGCTATCTATTTGACTCCAGTCTATGCGTCATGTGATGCTACTATTAGGAGAGATTTGTGGGCGGGTCTTCACCACATCTCCCTCGATATGGACGATCCTTGGCTAGTTGGAGGAGACTTTAATGTTATTACACATGATGGAGAGCGCACTGGTCATAATACCCGTAATCGTGGCACTACTGCTTTCTCTGATATGATGTTAGACTGTGGTTTAGAGGATGCGGGTTTCATTGGAAACCGATATACTTTGACCAATGGTCGGGTTAGAAAGAGATTGGATAGGGTACTTATTAATTCTACAACTGCAGCTTTTTGTCGACAGCTTACAGTGAGACACTTGAATCGGACTTCATCCGATCACTCTCCTTTACTGCTTCAGTGGGTTTCTGATGATGATTTGGGGCCTAGACCGTTCAGATTCCTCAATGTTTGGACCAAACACCATGATTTTTTAGCCTTTGTCTCCCAGAAGTGGTCGCTCCCTACTCATCTAAGAGGGATGACCGCTCTTTGGGAGAAGTTCTTCAGGCTGAAATAGGGTCTGCGCTGGTGGAATCGACATGTATTTGGAGATATTTTCTAGCGGGTGCGCGATACTGAGGTCGGGGTTGATGAGGCTGAGATAATATATGATAGAGATCCTACACCGGAGAACCGTAACTTACTACATCAGGCCCAGGCAGTTTTGAACTGGACCTTGTCTATTGAGGAGGGCTTTTGGAAGCAAAAGGCCGGTTCACGTTGGGCATGTGAGGGTGATCACAATACTCGCTATTTTCATGCGATGGTTCAGGGGCGTAGGATCAAATCGCGTATCAGGTCTATCAGGACACAGGCAGGGGAGGTGTTATCTACTCCTACTGATATTCAGACCTCGGCTGTTGCTTTCTACCAGGATCTCTTATCTGCTCCTCCACAACCCTTGGACCACATCCATTCTGATGTCATTCCGAGGCTATTGACGGTGGACGATAATCTGGCACTAAATCGCCCCCCTTTGATTCATGAGGTATGGGAGGCAGTTTTCAGTATTGATGCTGACAGTGTCGCTGGTCCGGATGGCTTCTCATCCCTATTCTTCCAGCATTGCTGGGATATCATTCAGGAGGATGTTTACAGGGCGGTATTGGATTTCTTTGATGGTGGTCATCTTCCACGGGGTTTTGCTGCTACTTCTATTGTCTTGCTACCCAAGAAGGATGGTGCTTGCAGATGGATTGAATTTAGACCAATCAGTTTATGCACAGTGTTCAATAAGATTATTACTAAGCTTTTGAACACTCGGTTGAGTACACTGCTACCGCGCATTATTTCCTCTCCACAGAGTGGTTTCATCCCAGGCCGTCTGTTTGGAGATAATGTTTTATTAGCTCAGGAGCTTCTCTACACTTTGGATGATAGAGTGCAAGGGGGAAACACTATGCTGAAGTTAGACATGGCTAAAGCATATGATGGCATGGACTGGGGCTTCATTTATTCTGTATTGGAGGCATTTGGATTCAATCAGATCTGGATTGACAGAATCAGGCAGTGGGTTTCGGAGTGTCGTTTCTCCTTACTCCTAAATGGCAGCCCATGTGGTTTCTTTCCCTCCTCACGAGGACTCAGACAGGGTGATCCTATCTCCCCATCCTTGTTCATCATTGCAGTAGACTACTTCTCACGCTTGCTCACTCAGAGGTTTCAGCAGTATCCCAGTATGTGTTATCGACATGGAGGTAGTGCTCTTGTCTCACTCTCTCATTTGCTGATGATATGATCATCTTTACCAACGGTCAGAAACAGTCTATCAGGAGGGTCTTAGATTCCTTGGAGCACTATGAAGGAGTTCCTGGCCAATTGGTGAATAGAGACAAGAGTGGTATTATACTATCCAGACGGGCATCCACTAGTCAGATCAGACGACTAGAGATTTTGACGAGCTTTAGACATCAGCAGCAGCCTTTCACTTACTTGGGTGTCCCCTTATTCAAGGGGACTAAGAGGAGCTTCCTTTATGATGACCTTATCCAGAAGATAAGGAATAGGATATCAGGTTGGGCCTCATGATTACTATCGCCTGGGGGTCGTATTACATTACTGAGGTCAGTACTTTCTTCCATACCTTTACATCTTCTTCAGATTATGCAGCGTCCCAAAGCAGTGCTGAAGAAACTTGAGAGCATCTTTGCCCGATTTCTATGGGATTCTAAGGATCAAGCACGACGTCTACATTGGAGGAGTTGGAAGGTGATTTGCCTTCCTACTGATGAGGGAGGCCTCAACTTTAGGAGATTACAGGATGTGGTGGACACCTTCTCCATGAAGCTCTGGTGGCTGTTCCGATCTCAGAGGTCACTTTGGGCTCAGTTTTTACTGGGAAAGTATTGTAAGGGGACGCATCCTTTACTTGCAGCAGTTCCCAATTCAGCTTCCCCTACCTGGAAGAGGTTGAAATCAGTTGGACCACGGATGGATCCACACATTGCTTGGCACCTTGGAACCGGTCAGATTTTCTTCTGGCATGATTGTTGGATGGGCGAGTCCACGTTGGCATCCCTATTCCCCCATAGACAGCACACATCTGTGAGGGTACAGGATTTTTTTGACGACACAGGGTGGGATTTTGGATGGTTCTTACAGGCCCTTCCTTCTCACATGGTGAAATAGATAGGGACGATACCATTATGTGCAGATGCCCCGGACCGAATTGTTT